AAGCCCCGCTCACCGCATTGAAATCCGATGCCCATCCGCCCCATGCTGCGGCTGGAATCCAGGGTCCCGTAATCACGGCTCAAACTCACTCGCTACTGAGGTGCACACTCGCTCCAGGAGGGGCCTTGGGGGCTGAGCGAAGAAGCGGCAGTGACAAACAGCAGCCAGAAGAGGGCGCTGCGGCCGTCCCTCGGTTTGCCTTTCCTTTTCCTGCCCCGGCTTTGGAGCAGCGTGGTCTGATTTTTTTAAATTTAAATATTCACTAATTTTCATCACATCTCATTGATTAAAAATATGCAGCAATTTTTGTCAAATAAAAACATGACGCCGTGTCCTCGTCCACCTTACTCACAGGATCCGACATCGTGTGACTTCCAGATCCTCTCAAGGTCAAAATGACCTCGAAAGGGAAATGTTTCGAATGGATTCAGGACACGGGGACAACCAGGACGGCGTAACTACAGACCCTCAGGAAAGAGGACTCCAGAGCTGTTGCACGAAGTGGCGAGGACGAGGGAACGAGTGTGTTGGAAACAAGGGGGAGGATTTTGAGGGGCTCATCGCAATGTGTGTTTCGCTGTTTTGTTTTGTTGTCTTTTGGGTAGCGGTGATCGAACTCGGGACCTTGCACTAGTGAGGCAGGCGCGGTGCCACTGAGCTAAATCCGAGGGCCTTCACTTTATTTTTATAGCAAAACATTTATCAGTACATTTTAGGCATACATAGTAACACTCATCATGGGGAATTTGTACCTGCACATGATACATCCCGCCTCTGTTTTTCCATTCCCCTCCTCCCCTCAAGCCTCTCCTCCCTGTATACAAAAGCTTTGTTTTCAATTTTTGCTTCTAATCTTTTTTTTTTGTCCCTTCCTTCCTTTTCCCCTCCTCCCTCCCTTGTCCCCAATCCCATTTGAACATTTTCTTCCTATTTCCCAATAACTATTATACATTTTAGTCCTTATTTCCACTTTCAGATTCTCACACCAGAGAAACAATGCAGTGTTTAAACATGTGTATCTGAGGGCCCGGGATTTAGCTCCGTGGTTCTGCCACCTGCCTTGCAGGTGCAAGGACCCGAGTTCAATCCCTGGTACAAAAAAAAAATCCCTCTTAAGACCATATCTCAAAAAACAATTTGACAGGCATAGTGGCACATGCCTATAATCCCAGCATTCCGGAGGCTGAGGCAGGAGGATTGCTGTGAGTTCAAGACCAGCCTGGGCTACATGGTGAGTTCCAGTTCAGTCACCTACATAGTGAGACCCTGTCTCAAAGAAACCAAAAAAAAAAAAAAAAAAAGTGTGTCTGATTTCAGGCCCATCCTTCTTTATGGCAGAGCAGTACTCCATGGTATAAACAAAACCACATCTTCTTTAATCCAGTCATCAGTTGTTCCACCATATTTTTATTCAAATGTTCATGGTATATTGCGATTACATGGTAGTCACCTCACCCTGCCCTTACCCCCCTCTCAGGAGGCCAGAAGCTCAGCTCAGGGGCAGGCAGACTCCCAGAGGGAGATCCCCTCATGGCTTCTGACTCACCATGAGCACCTAGGGGAAAGCGTGTGCCACACAGGAGAATGGAGCACTAGGCGGCTCGCAGTGGCACACACCTGTCCTCCCAGCACTCTGGGAGACTGAGGCAGGAGGGTTGCAAGTTCCACTTAATGAGACTCTCCTGCCACCTGTGCCCTAGGCAGATGGACCAGCAGCGAACAAGCTAACCCGCAGCTTCCCCTCCCGCTGCTGGGTCCAGGACATTCAGCCCACTCACCCATGACCTCTGGTGCAATGGGGCAGGAGAAGAGGGGTGAGTGCTAGAACAGGAGATGCAGTTTTGTGTGCAGAAGCATGAGTGGTGGGATGGAGACCCCGGAAGGGCCTTAGAGCAGATGGAGAAGGCTGAGGGTGAGACCTCGAGCACCAGAGACAGGAAACAGCCCAGCCAGGGGCACAGGATGAGTGGCGTGGAGGGAGCACCAGGTCCCCATCCCCGGGGCACACAGCCCGGGCATCTTGGAAGGGAGAACATGGCCTGGAGCCAGGCCCAGGAACAGCCCCAGGACACAGGCACCTGTGTCCCTGCCCTGGGGACGGGACAGCTCCATTCCAGGAAGGCAACCTGAATTCTTGGCCAGCCAAGCCTTTGCTCCCCGCTGGCCCTGCCATGGCCGAAGAGCCCCTCCTGGCTGAGACCACCCTGGGAAGCACCAGGGACAGCTGGCTTAGAGCAGGGGGTCGGCAGGGCACAGAGGCATCTGAGAGGCCCAGAAGGAACAGCATGAGGGCCACTGAGGGGACACAGTGCGTTTCCTTTGGCAGCTGGGCCCAGGGACAGAGGCCAGGCCAACCCCATACAAACCATGAGTAGAGGTGCAGTTGGACGGTCCTTTCATAGGCAGGAGGGTTTTATGCCCAGGAAAACAGCCTGAATCTTCCAGCCTCCTATGATAGTATTTGGAGGACCAAGTGAATCATGCAGGAGACTTTCAAAATTGCACAACAAACACCATGGTGAAGTCCAGTATGGTGCCATACACCTATAATCCAGGCTTCTCAGGAGGCTGAGGCAGAAGGACTGCAGAGAGTTTTAGACCAGTCTGAGCTAGTGAGTCCAAGGCCAGCCTGAATAACATGGCAAGACCCTGTCTCGAGAAAAGAAAAACTGACAGGGCACAGTGGCGCATGCCTATAATCCCAGCATTCAGGTGGCTGAGGCAGGATGACCACCGTGAGTTTGAGGCCAGGCTGGACTACATAATGAGTCCAAGGCCGGTCTGAACTACATAGTAAGACCCTGAAGAAAGAGAGAGAAAGAGAGAGAGAGAGAGAGAGAGAGAGAGAGAGAGAGAGAGAGAGAGGAGAGAGAAAGGGGAAAGAAAGAAAGACACCATGGCCTTCTGAGAAACCAAAGCAGCCAAGGTGCCTCGCTGGGCTCTTTCCCGCTGTCCCCTTGGGTGCCAGCAACAGTAACCCAAATACAGGGCCAAGGGGAAGGGGAAGAGGGTGCGGGCTCCTTCCTCCACCAGTGGGCAGAGGCTGGGCATGTGGCTGCACAGGTGGGACACGCAGCCTCTTCCCAGTGGCCAGAAATGACCCCGTGTGGCAGCGACAGGACCAGCAAAGTGTGTGCGTCACCAGCAGGGCCAGAGCTCTGGAATGGCCACACCATGCTGGTCCACAAAAGCATCAGGCTGGCCCAGCAAGACACACACCCAGGATCCCGGCACATGGGAGGCCGAGACAGCCTGGGCTGCATAGCAAGACCCTATTTCCAGAGAAAGGTGCAAAGTTCAGAGAGACACACAGACACAGCAGGTCCCAGGGTGCAGTCATGTCCATGTGAGGAAGTGACTGGGACAGGCAAAATTTTGGGGGGCAGAAAGCAGGCTGGTGGCTGCCAGGCCCGGGCAGCAGCAGGAGCAGGAGAGCAGCTGGAGGGTGTGGGCCCTCTTCACAGGGCAGCAGGAGTGCTCTGGATTTAGGTGCAGGGACGTTGTCCAACCCTGCAAAGGTGATAAAAACCACCAAACTGCACACTTTCCAGGGACGAGGTTTATGGCATGAGAATTATAGTTCAACAAAGAATCAAAATCACACTGGACACAGCGGTGCATGCCTGTAATCCTAGCACATAGGAGGCTGAGGCAGGAGGATCAAAACCAACTCAAAGGTCAAAACAAACAAAAATAATTCAGTACCTTTATTGGTCCTTTTTTCCCCATTTGTAGGCATAGCTGGCCGAGGGGACACAGGTGCATGGACCATGGTGTGGCAGGGAACTTGCGGTGTAGGGCCATGGGGAGGCCCTGACCGAGGGTCAGTGCTGCCCTTGGTCCACTCCACACAGGAGCTGGAAGGATTTGGCCTTCTCAGCCCAGCCTGTCCTCAGTGTAGGTGGGGACGAACAGTGAATGGGCAGCCTGGCAAGCCCACCGAGCCACTTCCTGTCCCTGGAAGTGAGATAGCCCCAGGGAACTTCCGGCCACGGAGAGGGCCCACGGAGAGGGGTGCCTGGACCCATGTCTCAAGCCACTCGGAGGGGACTCGAGGGCCCTGCAGGAGCCACACGCGTCCCAGGGCACACGAGGAGGAGAGGTCTGGTAGCAGGAAGCTCTGACAGACTGCGTCCCAAACTGAGAGGCCATGGGTGCCTGCCAGAGGGGACCCTGCCCGAGGTGCCCACACCTTCTCCCCATCTGGCCCTGCAAGCAGAGGCTTAGGGAAATGCCTGAAAGGGAGACAGGGCCCAGCCACAGTCTGTCCCCAGGCACCAGCAGGACCTTCTGGGAAGAGATGGCCCTGCTGTCCCCATGCCCCGCATGCCTGGCAAGGAGCCAGGGCCAAGCCCTGAATAAAGTGCGGAAAATGATGAGACCACAAGAGGAGTAGGTCACCCTCCAAGGTCACCCTCACCTCCTGCTTTGTTTCCCATGTGACTCTGGACAAATCTGGGGTCCCTGAAAGATCCCCATAAGACACCTCAAAAGGACAACTATGTTTGTCTTAGATCCTGTGTCTTCTTTCTCAATTTTCTTCTTTCTCATGATAAATATGTAGCACTTTTAAAGCAGAGAGGAAATGGTCACCTTATAAATGACTTTTTTTTTTTACTTAAAATCAGAAACCGTGGTGCACAGCTGCAACACCAGCTACTCAGGAGGCTGAGGCAGGAAGGTTGCAAGACCCAGGCCTGACTGGGCAATTTAGTGAGGCCCTATCGAGAAGTAAAATGAAAAGAGCTGGTTGTAGTTCCATGGTAGAGCACTTGCCTCACACGTACCATGCCCCCAGGTTCGATCCAAAGCAATTTAAAAAATAAGAAATGACTCAATTTCAACACTCCTTCCTCCAGCCTGGCCCAGCCTGTCCACGCATCCAACAGGAAGTTACTCAGCCCAGCCGGGGTTGTGCCAGCTCCCACTGCCCCAGTCTTCCTCCTGCTGGTCCTTTAAATGCACCCCAGCTCTCAGACCGCCAGCTGCCTGCCACCTGCCTGCCACCAACCGCCACCATGCGTTGTATCCTCAGCTTCGCCCTCGGCCTGCTCACCCTGGAGGCAGCCCTGGCAGTGGACCTGGACTCCAGCTCCTCAGGTAACCCAGCCACCTCACCCCAGGATGTGGAGAGGGACCCAGGTGACACCACCCACGTACCCCACTTGCACAGCCCCAGGTAGAGGTGCCTGGGCTGGGAGCTGGGTGATGGTGCTCTCTTCTACTCAGGCTCCTAACTCCCTCCTCCTACAGTAGGCCTGTGCCCTGGCTTCCTAATTTTTCTTTTCAGCACTAAATTGAACCCACAACCTTCATACTAAGCTCCATCCCCAGCCGCCTTTTTTATTTTTTACTCTGAGACAGGGTCTCACTAAGTCATTTAATTGCCAAGACTGGGCTCAAACTTGAGATCCTCCTGCCTCAGCCTCCTGAGTGCCGGGATGGTAGGAATGAGGCCCCATGCTCACTGTTTTCCTAATTTCCACTGCTGATTTCTCAGGTTTCTTCAGCTATTACAGATCTGGGAGATTTTTCCCCTCTGAGAAATATTGTCTTGGGATACCAGGGGCTGGGTCCCTGGTGTCTGTCTGTGCCTTCCCCTGAGGAGCCCAGGGGTGACCACGGGGTCCCCATCCACCCTACAGCTAAGGCCATGTGCCCTGACTTAAGCTCCTCTGAGAAGATGTCCTGCAAACAAGTGAAGGCCTGCGCCACCAACCAGGACTGCTCCGGCAATGCTGTGTGCTGCCCCAGCCCCTGCGGCCGCTCCTGCAGGACCCCAGTCTACAGTAAGGCCCTGCCTGGCTGGGAGGGGCCCAGTCCTCCATCAGTGCCCACCCCAGCCCTGCGCCTTGGCCCTAAGACCCACAGCAGGGAGGCCTGGGCACACTTCCTGCCCGGGATTTCCAGACACTGAACTTCAGTGTGGTAAAGTGGAGTCTTTTGGGAGGGGGCCCAGTGGGGGACCATGAAGGTTTCGGAGACAAAGGGCCACCCACCTCTACCCACCAGACATCCAGAATATGCGCAACTGCCCCTGGGTGCAGCCGGACCTGACACCCAAGGTGTGCAAGTTCCAGAATGATTGCGCCAAAGACAACGACTGTACCAACAACAAGAGGTGTTGCTTTGATGGGTGCAACATGCGGTGTATGGGCCCCAATGCAGGTACAGGGGCCGGGCTGCTCTCCTTCCTTCTGCAGATCTGTGGGTAGGGCCCGAGGCTCAAGGGGACCTTTGCCAATCCCTCGGGCCCCTACAGGACTCGATCCCTCGGCAGTGGCCAGGGACGGTAGTGTCTGAGTGAGGGTGAGGGCTGGGCTTCCTCCCTGCCAGCCAGATCTGTGCCCAGAGGTGACTGTCTCTCTCCTATCCTTACAGTGTCCCCTGCAGAGAATCCCCTGCAGTGAGAAGCCGCGGGGCTCCCTGCCTGCCTGAACCTCCCCTCCTGGGTCACAAGAGTGCGTGATGCCTCCCAGATGCTGCTAATAAAAATCCATTTGACTTCATGTCTGTCTGTCTCTCTGTCCCAGGATCCTGGAGGGACAGTAAACCTGGGCCTTGCCCCTGGGATCTCAGGGGGCTAGGGCAGATGCACACAGGCCACCCCAAGCCAGGCACGCAGAGCAGGGCTCACTCTGGGCAGGCTACGCCCCACCCCACTCTGGGTGCCAGCCAGGCCCTCCTGCCTCTGACCCCTTCCCAAGGGTGACCAGACCCTGCCAGGGGACAGGGGCAGAAGCTGGGCAGCATGAAGAGGGTACAGGGATGGTTCCCGGATTTGCACAGGGAGACCAGAAGGGGTGTGGGTAGCTGCCACCCACTGTCTGCACAGCAGAGCTCCACCATGGGCTGGGCATCCTGCAGCCCACACCAGCTGTGATGCCAGCGGACAGGTCCGCATCAGACCCCTAGAGCTAGGGTCTCAGCCCTGCAAACTGGGGCCATGATGGGAGTGTCCCATGAGGGCCCCAGATTCACTGAAAGTGCTATACTGGGACCCAACCCTTTATCACTAGGGATTCAGACCAGAGGCCAGCAGGAAGGGAACACAGGGTGAGGCTGAGGGGGCAGGGGACACAGGACAGTCTGTCCCCACGGTCCCCTCTCACCAGCCCCAAGCTTCCTGAGCTCCAGTGTCAAAGTACTGAGAGGTTTCCCTACCAGGCTTGGACATTGGCTCACCGGCCATTAACACCAGAATTATCTGGGTCCCCTCCCTGCCCCTCCCCTTCCAGATGTCAGAGGATGGAAGTTCCAAACTTCTGCCCTGGAAGCCAGAAAGGGGCCACCAACAGTCAGCTTGTAAGACCTAAAATCTCACTTCCACTCCGCGGAGTGTGAACAGCTGAAAGGCCTCCGTGATGCTGAGTCCTATAGCCCAACAAGGGCTCTAGATGCAAGACCCAGGGCCTTACTTCCGGGATCTGTGAACAGCCAAAAGGGCCTCCACGATGATGGGACCTATAGCTCAGCGAGGCTCCGGGAGCTTGACGGAGGAACAGGAATCACCAGGAGAGGAACACACCAATAAGAAGACCTTTATTAGTCTGGCCAGATGGCACTCCCGAAGCCAAGTAGCTCAGAGAGGCAACCGCTCAGGGGCTGAGGTTGTTTTATACGGTTTTTCAAAACAGAAAAGTTCAAACATAGGTCAGGGTATTCACAGAACTACCAGGGGATAAGATTCCAAACACACTGCTTATCCTATGCAGGAAATGTTCTATGGTCACCTTTTGTCATACCATTTGTCCCTGGGTGGGCTGTTAACCAAGTTAGCAATTAGCATATGAAAGTTTGAGCAGATCTTTCTTGATGTTTGATAAGGAGAGGGAAGCACAGTCTCTGGCCCATTAGCAGGCCAGCATAGAGTCACTTTAGCTCAGTCAGGTCCCACAAGCTCACCTGCAAACGTAGCACCACCTACAGAGCCCCACAGTGGGGACCAGGCTCTGAGTCCCCCATTCAGCCACCTGCTCTGGCACGGCTGCAACTGGGTTGGGCTGGGTAGGGCTACAGTGGCCTCCAACCACAGGGACTAAACTGACAGAGGAGCCCCTAGGGAGCGAAGGTGGCAGACACCAGGCAAAACACTGAGGTCATTACAAGGACCTTTGCTGTAGTTCCTGGTACGGAGCTCCTAGAACTTGTGGCACTGAGTTACCCACCTGGTAATGGAGGCAGCCAGCTGAGTCTGATAACTGCCTTTATCCAGAGGAGAAACAAACTTCTAAGGTCTCCAGGACCAGAGCAGTTTTTTGTTTGTTTGTTTTGAGACAGGGTGTCTCTATGTCATCTAGGGTGGCCTCAAACTCACAGCAATTGTCTCAGCCTCCTGAATGCCAGGAAAACAAGTATTCACCACCACACCCGATTTCCCTTACCTCTATTTTTTTTCCCAGTACTGGAAATCAAACTCAAGACCTCGTGCTTGCCAGGCAAGCGAAGCCCCACTGAGCTACATCCCTGGCCCCCTGCTCTTTTCTCTAATCTTTTTTGTTTTTGTTTTTTGTTGTTGTTGTTGTTGTTTGAGACAGGGTCTCACTTTATAGTTCAGGCTGGCCCTGACTCATTATGTAGCTCAGGCTGGCCTCGAATTTAATCCTGCCTCTGCCTCCCAAATGCTGGGATTACAAACGTGAGCTACCACACCCAGCTCTTGCCTCTAATCTTTAACTTTTCTCGTTCTTACAGGCCATGGCCCTGAGTGGACTGGACCTCAGATCCCCCTAGAGGCAGGAAGGACAGAGATTCCTAAACAGAGGGCTTTGTCCCCCATCAGGGCAGAGGGGTCATCAGAGGAGTTTGCCAGTCCTATTCCAGCAGAACTAAGGTGGTACCAGGAGAAGCCAGTGGATTTGATCTCTGTATGTGTGTGTGTGTGTGTGTGTGAGTGTGTGTTTGTTGGGGCCAGGCCAGCTCTGGGGACAGGTGGACAGGAGATGGGCTGTTGTTCTACCTAGACCCACCAGGCTGGGGACTGAGCCCTGTGACCGCCATGGCCAGCCACGCACGAGGCAGATGTGATTCTGCTGCTTAGGGCTACATGGCCACCAGGAGAAGGTTGTGGGTCATCCAGGCTGGCAGCCACCTAGCACCTGCCCAGTCCTTGTGGCTCCAGGGACTGCTTCTGGGCATGAGCAATGAGGCCAGAATGGCCAGGCTGGCCAGGCAGCCTGGAGGAAGCTCAAGAGCGCAGACTCCACCTGCCCACACCCTGCCCCTTCCTGGCCACAGGGCCACGGCCTGCCCATTCCCCGGAGGGAACTCAGCACCTGGTGGGCTCTTTAGTTTCAGCCATGCCTTCGTGAGCCAAAGCACGACTCATTAACCTAGCACCAAGGCCCAGGGCTAGGGCTAGGGTTACAGTAGCCAAATTGCAGCTGAGCAATGAGTCTGGAGTAAACCATTAACTTTCCACCTTGCAGGCTGCAAAGATTATGCATACATCTCCAGGTGACCTAATCACATACAGCAGTGACAGCGAGCCCTTAAGAGCTTTCAATATAAACAGCCAAGTGTGGCATGTATGCCATAGGTTCATCAGCACTGCCTTAGGGAATACCCTTTCCTCTGTCCCTGTATAATGTCAAGGCCCCTTTTAATTTAAACGTATTTTTTGATGCCCTTAACCACCAGTCTTTAAATTAATCTAAAAATATTTGTTAATTCTACTCAGAAAAGAACTATGGCTTTTTTTTTTCCTTTTCCTTAAACATCAGGAACACTATCAAAAGAAGACATCACTGTCTTCGAACATTTGGCTATTCCCAGAGGTGAGGTGGGTGGACAATAAAATCATCAGGACATGGTAAATGCATTCCTGAGATAACGTTCCTATACTCCCTCCTTACATTAAAATCAAATATAAAGCTCCCTGCTTTTCTCCCAGGTAATGCATTCCCCTCCTGGAATTTGCCCGTTGGTCCCCTGCAGTGTATGAATAAACTCTTAACTTTCCTATAGTCCTTGACTTGTGTTCTTTTTACCACCAGCGGCACTGGCCTCTCACACACGGATCCAAAACCATGACAATATAGGGGGTTTTGTTTCGCAGCTCCAGGGATCAAACTCACCAATTCACACATGCCACGTTCCGACTACATCCCCACCCCAGAAAAGTACACCTATGTTTAAGAGTTTTATAGCTTTAGCGCTAACATTTAGATTCCGGGACCATTTAATTTTTGTATAAAGTGTGAGAATCTCAATCCAACAAGGAAAAACAAAGTAAACCAGGTAAGAGAATGCGCCCCCGTACAGTCCAGCCTCCTGGAAGTCTAAGACAAGAAGATCGCGAGTTGGAGTCAAGCCTGGACAAGAGGGCGTGATGGCCAGTAGAACTCGGTTTGAAGGACCTAGTTCAATCCCTGGTGCCTCAATAGAACCATCTCTCCTGCTCCCTCCCTAAAGCTACGGGATACCGGAAGAGGAGAACTCAAGCCTTCCAGCTTTCCGTACGGGGCACTTTATCTTTTCTCCTTCCTATCTCTAAGTTTTCCATCACCCGTTTCTCATTACATTCCCCATTGTGTCGCATAAACGATCAGCAAAGATGGTAACCCGGGAAAGATGGGCAACGGTCGCTTCCGGCCAGGCGGTGGGCGACGAGCTTCGCTGCCGGTGGCGCTCCGGTGACGTAGAGTGCGTCCCTCACTTCCGGCGTCGCTCCGCATACCTACGCACGGCGCCTAGTCGCGTGGGTTCGGGACCGTCTGGGAGACACATGGAGGTCACCAGCGGCGTTCGCCGCGTAGTTCTCGCTCCTGGGGAGAAGAATCTGCTGAGCGTGGGTACTGAGGGCGCGAATATAGGCGTGGAAGGAGGAGAAGCGAGGGCGGGTAGGGCAGCGGGCCCGGAAGAGGGGTTGGGGATCTGGGCCCGGTGGGCCCTGAGTGTGAATTTGGTGGGGCGCTGGATGAGGCGCCTGGCAGCTACGGCGCACGCGCCGCTGTTGCCGCCGTGTCAGACCAGGCCTGCGAGGCGCTACCCGCAGTGATCCTGGATGCCTCCAGCCAGTCAGATTTCTCTCAGCATTTTAGGACCAGACTTGCGTGCTGATTGATATTTGCCTAAACCTAAGTCTAGCTTTTATTCTTAAAGTTCCTCTTGTAAGTTACTATTAAAGCCGGAAAGGTTTTCCAACGCTTTCCTACAGTTCGAAGGACCAGGAAGTGTTGGGCTAGGGCAAGTGTTCCTTTAGATGGACTAAGCTTTTTATAGCTGCGGTAATCTGCTCACGTAAAAAAAAAGTGTCGGCCATATACCAACTTCCGGAAATAGATGAAAATTAAAGGTGCTTTCTGCTTTGGCAAGATGCCAGGCCCTGATCATGTGTTTCACGAGGTCAATTGAACACTTTAGGGAGCAAGAGTAGTTGACAGAATTATTAAGAGCAGCATCCTAAGGGTATGTGACATGTTTTAAAGGAGGCAGCATTTTAGGGACTTGCAAAGATGAAGCGCATTTTGCCAGGCCCTGTGATCGGAGTGAAAGTGCAAAACCTGATTAGAATGGAGCAGGTGTTGTGGGGAGGGAGAGAAAAAACTGGGAATGCAATTCAGGGCCATGTTAAGAGTACTCAGGGCCAGGGACTTAGCTCAGTGGTTCCACTGCCTCGCAAGCTCAAGGACCCGAGTTCCATCTCCGGTACCCCAAAAAAAGTGCTCTTATGACTGATTTAGGAGGGTTTGCTCTCAGAAGGTGAAGCAAGGGTTGTTTTTTTTTTTTTTCCGAGTAGGCCACTTTTGTTTGGGAAAGCTCACTTCTGTGTGTGTGGTGTTAAAATACATTCACAGAAACTTGAGGAGTGTAGGTTGTATGTCTTGGGTTTTGTACAATCATTCTGATTCAGAATATCCTGTCCTGTCTCTGTGAATCAGTAATTTAATCCCGCCTAACCTTGAGATGAAAATATCAACGTTGTGCACTCCTTACCTGCAGAGATTCCCATTTGGGAGCCTGAGCAGAATCTGACTTAAGTATGCACTTGCAGTACGTGATGAATACACTGATTGTGGGGTAGCTGGTACAAGATAACATTTTCATTCGTTTTACACCCTCATCCCCAACACTTTTGGTCTATTTCACATTTTCAAAAGATTTATCTCTATTTCCTATTGTCTATCTTAATTTTACTCTTTAGTTTATTTATACCTCGGTTTTCCTGTGTAAGAGAAAACATGGGATACTTAAGCTTGTGCATCTGCTTTATTTCACTTAATGTTACAGATTCAAGGTGCATCCATTTTACCACAAATGACTCCAATTTATTCTTATGGCGGTAGTAGTCCTCAGGATCTGAGTCGAACCACTTGTAGGTGATTCTGAAGCTGACAGACTAAAAACCTTCCAAGCAAAGCTGTAATGAGTTTTGATATTTTATGGCTTTTTATACTGAAACATCATTGAGATTTTTGCTTCAGAACGTAGTTTTACTGGTATGAATAGCCAGAAGGAGAAAGATTAAGGCTGGCTTTAGGCAGAGAATAACTGTGACTCCGTGTCATTTGTCATGTTTTTCTCCTGTTTGTGGATCAGGAACTGCCCCTCTAGTTCCTCCTTTCTCTCTCCAGGGCTTTGGCATCACTTGCTAGGAGTATCACCTCCCTGCCCACTGGGCCATCATGGCAGTGCACCTGGTGAGGCGGTACTCATACCTTCTGAGAGAAGCCACTCGCCTAGCCCCTGCCCTGGCTCCAGCTGGCCAGCTGCAATTTGCCAGGGTGGCCCATAAGACTTTGACCTCGTCAGCCACCTCCCCCAATTCCTGGTCCCTGAGTTCCTTGAAGGAGTTGGAAAAGGAAAAGGAGCAGATGTTCATCCCTTTACCAAGCCAGCAAGAGGTGGACCAGCTCATCCAGAAGGCCACCAGGCCAGAGGAGCTGCTTGAGCTGCTGGACGGCAGTCACAACCTACAGTCCAATCAGTCAGCCATCATTATTATCCGGCTCTCTCACCTGCTGTTCCAGAAGCCACAGGACAAGGCCTCTCTCATACAGGACATTCGCTTTAAACAGCTTCTCCATCTGGTCAGCAGTCAGGTGGGTACCATGTGTTTTCTGCGGCTTGACAAGGAGAGGGCATCTAGACCGCCACCTGGACAGGAGCCCAGCATCTTGTGGCGTGTGTTTTTTGGCAGATTTGGAAGTCCTCACAAGAGTCCTGTTAGGTCATTGTTGCTGTTCTCATCTTACCAAAACACATGGTCACAGAAGTTCAGAAGACAAGTCTGGTTCTTTTCATTTCTTCCCGTGTTTGCCTCCTAGACATATGGCCTTGATTTAGGTTCCCACCCCCACCAAGCATCCAGGTGCTGGCTGGGTGCCGCTCTTGAGGCTAGAGGAGATGCGGTGTGACCGATGGTTCCCTGGGGCTTGAGCCAAGTGTGGCTGAGCTGGGGCAGCACTGGATGTGGGAGCCAGTTTCTGCTCAAGGTGAGGAAAGCCCCTTTCATGCCAGTGCTTTCCTGGGCCATTGGCCTGGTGAGCTGGCCCTCACCCCTGGTCTGCTTTGTGAGGAAAGTATCAGCCAAGGTGAGGAGGAGGTTGTGCTACATGTTTTTCAAACTGTAGATTTTTAAGTCAGCCTTCACACTGAGCTACATCCCCAGCCCTTTTTTAGTTTTCCAGATGGGGTCTCGACAAGTCTGTAAATTGCCTGGGCTGGGCTCAAATTTGTAACCCTCCTGTCTCAGCTTCCCAGCATGCTGGGATTATAGGCATGTGTCATTTTGCCTGGCCCAAGCCTCTTATTTTTTAATGAAGTAGAGAAGTGTAGAAGACACATTAGTAAAAAGGAAGCCTGTCTCCTGGAACTTTTTTTAGGCTAAGTGCGTGTACATAATTCTGCGTTGTGGGGGGATCAAATGTGCATCTCTTTCCTGCTGAGCACTGGGGAGAAAAAGACAGGCTGTGATCAGCATGAAGAGATTTGGATTCCCGTTTCACCACTTGCTATCTTCCAAGAGTGGGGCTGGGCCACACTGACCTGTGGCCCTGGCCACTCCTCAAGACCTAGAGTTGCTCCCTGTGGTGCAGGGAAGGGGTGGGGCTGGGCACCCACAGACTCTCAGTGGAGTTCAATGTGGACAGCTCGTGTGGGCTGTGCAGGAAGAATGCCTGAGCTGAATGCAGTGGTGCTCACCTGTAACCCTAGCACCCAGAGGCTGACATGGGCTAGTTCCAGCTTCTAGCCTAGCCAGGGCAATTTATCAAGACCCTAAAAGGTATTGGGCATGGTGGTGCACACCTGTAATCCCAGCACTTAAGAGGCTGGGACAGGAAGACTAAGAGGCTGCAAGCTTGAGGCCAGTCTGAGTTATAAAGGGTGACCCTGTGTAAAAACCAAAAAAGGGGCGGGGATTTAGCTAAGTGGCACTGAGCTTGCCTTGCAAGCTCAAGGCCCTGAGTTCGATCTCTGGTACCCAAAAATAAATAAAACTAAAAGGATTGGGGTAAAAATAAGAACCAAGATACATCGTGTAAAGGTACAAGATCCTAGTGATGAATGCAACTGTACTGCATACCTAAAAAGTACCAATAAACTTAATGAAAAGACAAATAAGGTGCTGCTCAGTGCGGAGAGCCTGAGTTAAATCCCCAGCACCGAAGTAAAGAAGAAGATGCCCAGTACTCAGAGGCATCTCAGGGTGCCGCCCATGAGGGTATTGGGGCTCCAGAGCATGGCAGTTCCAGGATGCTTTTGCTCACATGACACACGTGGGCACACCCGCATGTCAAGGCAGACCTGCCTCTGCAGCAGTTCAAGGCTCCCAGGTTCCTGCGCCCAGCTGGAGGGGTGGGTGGTGTGCACTTGAGCCCCGCCCTTCTCACAGCAGTGGTTGCATTCCTGAGAAACTAGAAACTTAGGGTTTTCTTGTTTTTGTTTTTGGGGAGCATCTCAGTTATTTATCATTTTATGTAAAAGTCCAGTCAGTGACAGAAGCTTCCTTTCCGCCATCGCATCACAGCCATGGGCTGGACCAGCTCTACCTACAGGTCAGGTCTGTACCACGCAGCTGTGTGCAGCACCACAGTCTGTGGTACAGCTGGGCAGTCAGGGGTGCTCAAGGAAACCTTGGAGATTTCTTAGAGCTCAGGGATCCTGCTTGCAAGCAATAGCAAACTATCCTGGCCACGCTGAACAGAAACCATTCCCTGAGGCTGGAGGACCAGGCTCAGGGAGCTGTTAAGAGAGGTGGGCACTAACTGTTCTCTAAACTCCTGTTGAACAGGCAGCTGCAGCCCAGAGGCAGGGTCGCTGGGGTGCCACATGTGAATGAGCCTTTGTGTAAATGCCCCCCCAGGTATCCTCTGTGTGGCACGGGACACTTGTGAAGCTGCTGAGGAGCCTGTACATGCTGGAGGTACCCAGCACCATGCAGCCACTGAAGTCAGTGGAGCAGGAGGTGCACTGGCGCCTTCGGAGGCTCAAGTACAAGCACTTGGCCTCCCTGGCAGAGTCCTGTGCCGCGTCCAAGGAAGGGCAGCACCCCCAGGAGCTGCTGGCCAAGCTCCTGGTGCATCTAGAAAGGCGGTGGACGGAGATCGAGGATAGCCACACATTGGTGGCCGTCATGATGAAGGCAGGCCACCTCTCAGAGTCGCTGATGACCCGGCTGGAAGACAAGGTACGGGCTGAGAGCAGCCGGCACTTGGGCTTGTCTGCGGGTGACAGTCCTCTGGGGAAGGGGAGTGTCATGTGCCTGGGGATGGGAATTCCGGAACCTTTGGTCCAGGAGTGCAGGTGTCACCCACGGAGAGACCAGAGGGCTCCAGAGAGCTGCGGGTGTTCATTCTGTGGCCTCTTCAGTCCTGCAGCACCCCAGCCCTGTCCTAGCCACTGCTTCCCTGGGTGACTCCTGGGTCTCCTAACCCTGTGCCTACACAGTCTCTTGTCTGGACCGCTCCCAGAAATGCCGTGTCACCCCCCTCATCCCATCCCTGTCACTTTCTCCTTCCCAGCCCTGTTGTACCCTGCAGTCAGTCAAATTCGGCCCTCGTCTCATTGCGACAGGGGCTGGCTCAGATGGCTGCCACAGCAGGCTCCGCAGCTCATGGGCTCTGGGTCCCCACCTGGGACCTGAGAATAAGTTGGGCCTCGAACAAGGCTTCCAGGGAGACAGGCCCCACACAGACAGACGGGCTGTGTGGGGTCAGCTCAGGCCCAGTTGCTGTCTCACAGGGGCTGCACTGGATGGGACCCCTGCCCCCAGTTCGTCCCTGCCATCTTGGGCCATCGAGCTCACCCCTGCACGGCTGTGGTTGACAGTGCCTGGAGTTGGTGGAGCAGTTTGGCCCCGAAGAGTTACAGAAGGTGCTCCTGACGCTGGCAGCTCAGAGCCGGCGGTCGGTGCCCTTGCTGCGGGCCATCTCCTACCACCTGGTGCAAAAGCCCTTCTCGATGACGAAAGCTGTGCTCCTGGACCTGGCCTATGCCTACAGTGAGTGGCGGGGAGCCTGCAGCCCACAGGCCTGCAGCTGTGTCAAATTCGGTGCCTGCCTCATGTGGCAGGCACTGGCCCAGAAGGCTGCCACAGAAACACTGTGACTCATGGGCCCTGCTCCCCTTGCCTGGGCACAGGGATAAATTTGGTCACAAACACTGAAACTGCACCTCGGGTGAGGCAGGCAGCAGGTAGCTGCTCCCCTCCCCAGCCAAGCCCTGTGCTCTGCTCTGTCCCAAAGGCAAACTCAGCTTCCATCAGACCCAAGTGTGCCAGCGCCTGGCCGCCGACCTGCTGCCCCTCATACCTAGCCTGACACCTAGCGAGGTGGCCCACTGCACCACATCCTTCGCCTTCCTCAAGTGGCTCAACCTACCCCTGTTTGAGGCCTTTGTCCAGGTGAGCCACCACAACCCTGGGCACAAGAACTCGTGCACTGTCTGGGCCCGAGCCCAAGGCTAGCACAGAGGCCTTTTAGGCACTGTCACCATTGTCGCAAAGTCGGTCTGAGAACACAGTTGTGGGGAGCAGGTGCAGAGTTCCTTTTCTCGGGCTTACTTGGAAAGGGGTAGTAGGTTTCTTCAGTCTTGGGTAGATGGTGGAGAAAGCAGAGGACCTGTCTGGGTGTCCCCACGGAGCTCTCCCAGCTGCTGGCCACTGCGGTGGTATCGTGACCTACACCAGGGGGCATCTGTGATGTCACCATTGCGGAGCTGGTTTCCAGAGCCCTTTCTCTGTGAGTGGGTGCTACTGGGTGGCAAAGGGGCAGGCATGGCTGAAGCTCATCCTGTCCCTCTGCCACCTCTGACTGGCCCAGCACATCCTGCACAGAGCCCCAGACCTCACCGTGCCCCACTTATGCCGCATCCTCCTGGCGTTTGCCCGTCTGAACTTCCATCCAGAGCAAGAGGAGCAGTTCTTCCGCCTGGTACGGGCTCCAGCCTTCCCCTGCCACCATCCCAGGAGTGGCCTGGCCTGAGTGACAGGATGGGGACCACGGCACCTGACTTGGGCGGGCGATGGCCATCCTGGGACACCTGTGAGCAGACATTCCCAGTCCTGTGACAAACGCACTGCGCATGTTTCCCTGCTCTGTACCAGCTGTAGGCCATGGGGGTTATGAAGACCTGGGCCTCACAGGCTCCCTGGCACACCCTTGGGGACTTGCCTGGTCCTGTCTTGGAGCCATTCAGCCAGGGGTCCCCACTTCCTTCTTGTCCCGGCACCCACTGGAGGCGTTGCAGGAGAACACAGAGGCAGGTGCTGGGGCACCCAGCTAAATGCCCACTCCAGGCAGCCCTCTTGCGCCCTGAGGAGGGCGCCGCAGTGTCACTGGCTGTGGTCTGCCCTCTGGTGTAGCTGTCCCTGGGCCACGCTGGCTTCCTCAGTGTTCCCTGTCTGCCCAGGTTCGTGAGAGGCTGGTACCTGCGCTGGCGAGCCTGGAGCCATCCCTGCAAGTGGACGCGGTGTGGGCGCTGTGCGTGCTGCAGCAGGTGCAGACAGCTGAGCTGAGGGCTGTCCTGGACCCCAGCTTCCACACACGGTTTCTTGGTGAGCCCCTCACCCACCCCCACAGCCCAGTGGCCTCCTGCCTAGAGCAGGCGACTGCAGAGGGGAGGTGGAGACCACCATCCTGCCTGGGCCTCTGTGTCCCTCCCTTCACTCTCCTCTGCCACAGGGGCCACATCTCCAAGGGACCAGAACACCTTCCAGAAGCTGCTGCACATCAACGCCACTGCCCAGCTGGAGCACCCAGAGTACCTGGGCCCCTTCCTGTCAGCTGCAGCTGTGACCCCCACACCCCCTGCCCCAGACCGGAAGGTGACCCCTCTGCAGAAGGAGCTGCGGCAGATGCTGCAGGGGCTGCTGGGGTGCACCAGCCGGGGCAGCCTTGATGTGGTCACGCAGTACGGCTGGGTGCTGGGTGAGGGCCCCCGTGGCCGGGACAAGGCTGCCCTGCTCCTGTCTCCGCCTGCCCTGGGTTCTCTGGGGGCGGAGCAAACTGGCTCTCACCTGCATCCTCCCTTCCCAGACGCTGAAGTGCTGCTGGATGCTGATGGCCAGTTCCTGCCGCTAAGGGACTTTGTTGCGCCTCACCTTGCCCAGCCCACTGGGAGCCGGCCACTGCCCCCCCAGGCCAAGAGGTGGGTGACAAGGCACACAGTCCCCAGGCGGTGCACACGGGGTCCCGCCTCTCAAGAGGGCTACAGAGCAGACTGTCTCCTTCCTCCCCAGGCTTGCATTCCTGCTCTGGGAGTTCCCCAACTTCATCAGCAAAAGCAGAGACCTGCTGGGCCGCTTCGTCCTGGCCCGGCGGCACTTGCAGGCTGCAGGTTTTCTGCTGGTAGATGTGAGTACCTGCTGGACAGGGAGGGTCCCCGGGCCTCAGCCTCACAGACAGCTGGGTCCAGAAGTCTCCAAGCCCTGTCCAGCTTTGGAGGTGGGCAGGGCGGGCTCCTAGCCCTCTAGTGGGGGGGCTGCAACTGTGGGTGCTGATGTTGGCTCCTGGAAAAGGCCCTGCAGAGCTGCTGTGGAACTGAGGTACAGGGAGTGAAGGTCTGGCTTTCGAGTCTGTGGTCTTTGTCATGTTTTCTTTCTCTGTGACATTTGTCTTTCCCAGTCCTTTAAAACCTAGCACCTGAACTAGGCCCTGTGCAGTGCGCGGGCCTCCTTGGCGCTGACAGCCAGGCCTCTCCTCACAACCCCAGTGTGGGCCTTGGGGATGAGGGGCAGAGCTCTCAGCTCCTGAGTCAGTGTGAGCACAGAGCCAGCAGCCAGGCAAGGGCAGTCTACCCCTGGCCCGTGTGACCATCCCCACTGCCTCCCCCAGGTCCCCTACTATGAGTGGCTGGAACTGAAGTCTGAATGGCAGAAAAATGCCTACCTCAAGGACAAGATGCGCAAAGCCGTGGCTGAGGAGCTGGCCAAGTGACGTGCTGCGTCTCTCTGGACAGTGCCCTGGGCTCACCCAGGCCAGCGTCAAAGGGGTCACACTTGAGGACAGACCTTCAGCCAAGCTGGAGGGTGGCCACCTGCTCCCCACGAGGGACAAGTGGCCTCTTGGGAGTAATAAATTTTAGTGTTGCTGTCAGCAGCAGGTGGCTTCCCAGGCTTTGTCACATGCGCGTGTGCACCTGTGTTTCCACCCAGCTCTCTGCTTTGGAGGATAGTGTGGGTCTGCAGGGCTCTGCTGTGTCCTGGCTTCTTTCTGAGGCCCCTCCCTGTCACACCTGGTCATCACCCTGCTGACCTCTGCACCTGTAGGGTGGCGTCCTAGGATTCAGCCTGGCGGATGAGGCCCCTCAAGGCCTGCGGTGACAGGTGGTGAGGGGCTGGGTGGAACTTGGGAAGAAAAGACCCATTCAGCTGTCGCACGGCCCAGAAACACCTGACCAGATCCCTTTGTTCGTCCCGGGCCAAAGAGGTGAGCACCTGGGGCTGTGACTCACCTCCGTGACAGTGCTGTGGGAATAAGCCGCCTGTGCACCCACTCTAACCCTGCCTCTGTAAAGAGCAGCCCAGTCCTCTGCCTGGCTTGGAGCAAGGAGCAGGTCTCTGTCCTCGGGCAGTTGGTGACAGTGGAGGACAGGGGCCAGGGAGGAAGAGCACCTCCCAAGTGGAGCGTCAGGGCCGAGCGCCAGGCCTGAGGGGCTGTGGGACCCGCTTGGGCAGGACTGTCTGAGGAAATAAAGTTTGGCCCTGTTCACTGCTCAGCCCACTGGATTTTCTTTTAAGTAATTGGGGTCGCTGTACAGTTGCTAAACACTGGAGTGGTTTCTTCAGTGGAGGGCCAAGTGCCAGGGGCAGAGGTCAGGCTGGAGGCCACCTATCTTGGGCCACCTGCACTTCAGTCTGTGCTGCTGCTCTGTGATCCAAAGGCTGCTGCCTTTGGTCTGGATTCAGAGACACGTTCCCTGCTATGGCTCCATATCCGCCCACGCTAGGCCAGCTGGGGGCAGTGATGGATAAAGTGACCGCCAAAATCTCAAGTTTTCCTGTAAGTTCATCTCAGTCCTCCATTGCCCAGGCCTGTGGGGTTCACATGTCAAGATGGTGTGAAGAGACCACAGCTGTTTACCTGAGTGGGAGAAAGGGCAGGTCCTCTCCTCACCAGTGTGGGGTGGTGTTACTGAGTTTTAGATGTTAGTGGCTTCTGCGTCTGGAGCAATACTGTTGAAAGTGGCAGTTCTCTGGCAGTAGTATGCAGGCATCTGTCTTCTCATCTCTGATACATTGAAAGGCACCTGCTGTCAGTTCTGGTGAGGCATCACATCGGCCTGTGCTCTGGTCCCGGCCCCCTGGGTGTGATTTGTGCATTCTCTCCTTCTGTAGCTTGTCTTTCCTCCCCTCATTCGGGTCTTGTGCAGAGCACAAGTTTAAATTTTCATGAAGTGCAGTGGTGAGTCTCCTATGGTTTGCTAGACTATGCCCTGACCAAAGGTCCTGAGACTCATTTTCCTAAGAGTGCTGCCACTCCTGGTTTACTCCCAAGACCATGATCCATTTGAAGGAAGAGTTCTCCTGAAGATCTCTTGTCAAATGGAAAAACCGAGGGAGTTTGGCCCCTTGGTGTCCAGTAGCTCCTGAGCTGAGTTTGCTCCGAGTGCCTCATTCCTCCGCGCCCTACATACCCAGTTTGTCTTTGCCCCTTGACTGGCTTTTGTGCTCCTGTGAAAGGCTCAGCATATTCGTGTGGCTCTTAGCTTTTGAGCTGTTGCTGTGTCATCTGCCCCTCTGGCAACATCACAATATCTCATTCTTGGTGGTTGTTGCTAGAAAACAAGCCTTTGGCTGGTTGTTGCAGCACATGCCTGTAAACCCAACGCTGGGAAGGCTAAGGCAGGAGGATCACTGAATTCAAGGTCAGGCTGGGCTATTGGGCTATGTAGTGAGCTCAAGGCCAGCCTGAACTGCCAAGTAAGACCCTGTCTCAAAAAAAAAAAAAAAAAATCACTGAGTGAGTGAGGTGAATGTGTCACCGTAGCCTAACTCTAGTTCTTAGGCCTATCCACTAGAACCAGCTGAGTTTGTGATCATCAGAGGAGACCCAACCCCTTTGCTGCCTTCACTTCTCACTGGAGCACATGGCACATGCCTGTCTGTTTCGGTCCTGGTGTCCGCAGTGCTTTGTGACTTTTGTTGAACACATCCACAGCGTTGCGTGGTTTTTAGTTGTATTAAGTTGATTGTTCATGTGTGGCAGTTGGGCTGATTTTGTAGTGGTCTTGTTGAACTCTATGCATTTGTCTTATTCTTCTGGACTCCTAGTGACTCACAGATCTGGCCTCTGTGCCCCTTTTTATTTTTTTGGTGGTACTGGGGGTTGAACCTAGAACTACCCCACCATTGAGCGCCATCCCCACCCCTTATTTTCAATTTTTTTTTTACACAGGGTCTCACTAAGTTTCTCAGCCTGAGCCCACACTTGTGATCCTCCTGCCTCAGCCTCCTGAGTAGCTGGGGTTAAAAGGCTGTCTCATTGCACCTGACATTTTTTAACAGCTTTTTGAAATAATATCTATTAATTGAATTACATGAAGTTTATAGACAATGTCATTAATGCCATTAAGTATTGGTTAATATGATGCCATAGAAAATGTGTAGCTCATTAGTTTTTCAGCTTCTTCATGGGTGTGTGCACTCACTGGAGTCAATTTTTAACCCTCTGTTACCTCAGGAAGGAATTGCCCTTTACTTACTGCTTCCGTATACCCTCTCCCTGCCCCCTATCCTTAAGCAACCACTAATTTTTTCTTTTTAGACAAGGTGTTGCTGTGTAGTTCAGGCTGGCCTTGAACTCACTGTGCATCCCAGGCTGGCCTCAAACTGAGCAACCCTCCTGCCTCAGCCTCCGGAGTGCTCAGATTATTGGTATGCACCACCACACCGGCAACCACTAATCTGCCAGTCTATAGATTTCCCCCTTCTGCTCTTGGGTGTGAATGGAACTGTACAGGACATGTTTTTCTACAACTGGCTTCTTTCAGTGTAATATTTACATAGTTCATCCGTGTTTTACTATGTATCAGTGTTCGTTCCTTTTTATGGCCGTATAATACTCCTTTGCGTGGCTTTTGTGTTAGCCTTCTGTATCTGAGTTCCGCATCTGTAGATTCACTGACCGCAAATGGAGACTCTTGGGTAGAAAAGAGATATCTGTCCTGAATATACACAGACTTTTCCTTGTTATTCCCTAAGCCATGTGGTCTTAAAATGTGTCGTGCTTACATTGTACTGGAGGTAACAGGTAATCTAGAGAATTCAAATAGGAGGATTGCATAGGCTCTGTGCAAAGATGCCACTTTTAGCAGCAACATGGGCATCACCAGGAATCCCAGAGCAGACCCTGTGGAGTCCAAGGGCCATCCTTCCGCGTTCTCTTCACCCACTCGTCCATCAGTGGCTATAGGGCTGTCACTGTGGCTAATGTAAATAGTGCTACTGGGATATCTGCAGGTCTGCATGGACATGCTTTCCTTTCTTGGAGGTACAGCCCAGAGTGGAATTGTCGAGTTTTCGGTGTCCTAAAGCCGCAACTCACGGCTCACACTCCTAGCAGCCATGCACGTGGGTTCCAGCCGCAGCTCTGCCCAGCAGCCCATGTCATGCAGCTGTCCGGGCCTTGTTAGGGGTGTGAAGTGGGGTCTTCCGGTGGCTTTGATTTCCAGTTCTGTGATAACTATAGTGTGCATCCTGCCATGTACTTATCAACCAGTTACATAGCTTTCTTTTGTCTTTTGAGATAGGATCCCACTATATAGTTTAGGTTGGCCTTGTACTCACTAAGTAGCCCATTCTGGCCTCAAACTTGGAATCCGCCTGCCTCAGCCTCCTGAGTAGCTACATTACAGGCATGTGCCACCATACCCAACAGCATAATTTCACTTTCTTCATGGTATTCTTTGAGGCACAAAAGTTTTAAATTTTGGAGAAGTCCAGTTTACTTTTTTCTTGCTTGTGCTTTGGCTGCTATTTCTAAGAAGCCTCTGGTGAGTCCAAGATCATGAAGATTCAGTCCTGTTTTCTAAGAGTTTTATAATTTTCTTCACTCTTGTATTTTGGTTACTTTTTTTGTATAATACCAAGTGTCACCTTCATTCTTGGGTGTGTGTGTGTGTGTGTGCTGTGGTATGTTCCTGCATGTGTGTGTGTGAGGAAGGCCTTGGGCGTGTTGCTCAGGCACTTAGGATAGCACCAAGCTGCACCACAGCCTCCCAGTGTCACTCATACACTCAACTGCCACTGCGCCCGGCCCCCGCCCAGCACCTCTGTCATAGGTCAGCTGCCCATGAGGCCTGAGTCACTCCTGGGTCTGTTTTCTTCAGCATCTGTGTGCAGCATCTCAATTTCATTTGCTTGGTAGTAAGTTTTTAAATGGCAACTTTTCGTCCTGCATGTCTTGCAGGATGGCGTTGGCTGCTCTGGGGCTCTCACAGTTCTTTGAGTCTTGGAGTAAGCATGTCTCCAGAGAAGAAGGTGGGACCCTCAGGCCTTCACAGCATCCACTCTACTTTTATTTACTTTGGTGGTGCTGGGGATCAAAGCTGGGTACTCACAGATTTATTCTTTTTTTAATGTTACTATGAATGGAATACGTATTCTTTTATTAGTATGCATTTGCAGTACATAATTTCGTCACAGGGAATTGGTACATTTACATAGCACATCATAATTCTTTTTACTTCCCTTCTCCCCCCATTAAATTTGGATTTCTCATTGCAAGTGGATAGCGTACTATAGATTTTCATGTACTGACTGAATCTTGCAGCCTTGCTGAACCGACTTGCTTGGAGATGTCTGTCTATGGGTCTGTTTCCGTGTAACCCTACTTCAAGTTCACTGAGCTTTGCTTGGGCCAATCACAAGCCAGCAGCTGCTGCATAAGCAGAACCCCCTCGCATTCTCCAGTCAGTCCAGAAAGGCTCGCTGCTTATTTTCCGATGGTCCTGCGAATCTGCTCGTGATTTATTTCTTGGGTGGTGTGGGCTTGGAAGATCCTGAAAGTCTGCTCAGAACTTTTATCCTGAGTAGGGTGGTCGGAGCAGTCTTTCCAAAAGAAAGTGCAATAAACCTCAGGGGCTGTTACCCCTGAAGAGCTCCAAACAGCAGCAGCCAAGACCGACCAGCAGCAGAGACCAGCCCCAGCAGTCTCTGGCCGTATCTGCCACAAAGGAGTATCCCACAGTGGTGGCCGCCAACAGCAGAGACCAGCAACCAGCAGCATGGACTGACACCACACAGTAAATGGTGTCTGCCGGTGGCATCAGGGTTTCCAGAGCGCGGCTGATTTATTTCTATCTGAGTAGTTATTTCTAACTCTCACTTGGTTGGCATTGCCATCAAGACTGCAGTCCACTGCTGTTTGCCCTCTGGACCACATCCCAGCAACTTACATTTTCTAGCCTCATGCATTCAGGGCAAGGGCTCTCCCACCATTCTCATTTAATGTGTTGGTGCTGGACATCACACTCATATTTTTAAGTGTTGAGCCAGCCTTGCATACCTAGAGCACATTCCACCTGGTCATGGTGTATATTCTTTTCATGTTATTGACTGATTTGCTTTTTTTTTTGGTTCCAGGAATCAGACTCAATGCCTTGAGCTTGCCAGGCAGGCACTGTACCACTGAGCTCCATCCCTGGCCCTGCTGATGCTTTTTTGAGAGAATTTTTGTGCCTAAATTCATGAGAGATTGGTCTATAGTTTTTGAGTTTTGGTGTTACTTTGTTAGTTTTGTTGTCAGGATATTAACTTGCCTCTTACATTTTCTGTTGCTTTTGGTTTTGGTTGTTTGAGACAGGTTCTCACTTTGTAGTTCAGGCTGGCCTCTAACTCCTAGTGATCCTCCTGCCTCAGCCTCCTGGGGATGAGATTACAGGTGTGCACCACCTTTAGAGAATAGGTGTATTCTCTAAAAGCTCATTTTAAAACTTTTTTTGAAACTTCAACAATCTATCACCTAACATGTATAGCATTAACTTTTTAATCCATCTAACAACAAACACAGCATTTCCATCCCATCCAAGACAGAGTTGTGGACCCAGTAAAGACTATCCCTTAAGCCGGGCATGGTGGCGCATGCCTGTAGTCCCAGCACTTGGAGGCTGAGGCAGGAGGATCACTGTGATTTTGAAGCCAGCCTGAACTACATAGTGAAACCCTGTCTCAAAACACCAAGAAAGAAAGACTCCTAGGAAAAAAGAATTAAAAAAATAAGTATTTTATTTAAAAAGTTAAATTACCAGTGTTGCAGAAAAAAGATAATTTCCAAGTGATTTAAGTCCATTAAAACAGCAAAATAAAACACACTTGGCAGCCTGTGCTTCCTTAAACACCCCTCCCTGCTCTAAAATGCACTGGGAGAAAAACATCAAAGCCCTCACTAAAAACTCTTCTGTGCTTCTCTCCACTGTGTTCTCTCCAGGAAGCACCAAAGACCGGGATAAAGACCAGCTGCTCTTGGTGCCCGGCCTGCTGGTCTGCCTGGACTTGCACCAGGGCCCAGATTTCTGGAAACTTGCAAAATATCCTCGAGGTTCTTCCAGGGAAGGGCCCAGGGCTCTTTGAAAAATGGAGAGGGAGGTTCTAAGCCAAAACCACAGAACAGTTTGTAACCTGTGACGTTTTACTCAACAGGTAAAAACAAGTAGTAGCAGCTTGGCATGGTTGAGCAAAACTAATTCTGGCCCTCTAAAGGCTGAGGCAGGAGAATTGCTGTGAGTTTGAGGCAAGCCTGGGCTTCACAGTATAAGGCCAGCCTGAACTACAAAGGGAGACCCTGTCTCAAAACAAAGAGATGCTTATCTCCTCCTTTAACAACAGAGTTTAAGAGAACCCAGAGAGAATTCAGCCTGGACTGCCTCAGGGGAAAGGTATACACTTTGTACCAAGCCTCCTGTGCCTCAGTGGGGCCCTATCATATCTTGCCCAGAGGGTTCAATGCGCAGAAGCGGTCAGCCTAGTTCTTGGTTACTTTATGGTCACTTCCTCCCCTTAGCTGGGCGCTTGACAAGCTTGAAGTTTCCAGTAACCCCAGAACTGACAGGTCCTCCGCAACAGCTCCACACAGGCCCTGCCCGAGACACACCAGCCTGCAGCTGCTTCCCGTCGGCTGGCTTCTCACCAGCTGTGTGCAGCAGCAGAGTGGATTTAGAGAAAAGTCTACAGCCCAGGATCTCCATACACTGCCAGGTCATGGGAGGAGCAGTCTCGCAACCGGACACTCCAGTGGGTGTCTCACCCTGCTGGGCAGAGCCCGGAGCAAGAAGACAGGGCCTCGGGTTCTGTCTGAGATGGGACTTAGGACATGGCAGCTGCTCCCGGCCTCTCTCTCTTCAGTGGGCCAGACAGGACCGCACTGAGCAGGACACCTTGTTTGGCCACCCAGATAAATTTACACGGCCAGGATGAACAAAGCCATCCACGTCTGCCTGCAGCTCTACTTTTTTTTTGGCTTTTTTTTTTTTTTTTTTTTTTTTTTTTTTTTTTTTTTT